ACATATATATGCTCCTGACAAATTTCCTCATTTGTTTAGATTCCAGAGTTCCTGTGAGATCATGCTAAAATTTTCAGGTTGTTTATATCATGCTAAAATGATGTACATTTCCTTTATATTCACATCATGTAGCCAGTATATTCTTATGTAAGCATGAGTATCAGAGCTCTAAGGGTTTAAGAACATTTTATATATTACAGAGATCTGTCCCAAGCCAATGGGTCAGTCAATGAAGGTCACCTGGGAGAGGAGCGGGGAATTGAGGAGGGGACAAAGGACAGGAGATGTGAGAAATGGAGACAAGACAGGGTTCTGATCAAGTCTCGTTTATTTAGGGGAGGTGCTGGGTATATGTAGTGGAGGCATAGGGAAATGATGTTGGCGGGTAAAAGGCGCGAGTAACTAGGCAACCGGGCTATGACAGGAAGTCCCACCTCTGGGCATAGCAGGAGACTTATGGGAAATAGGCGGGGTAAGAAGAATTAGGAATTTAGCTCAGCAGAGGTAGGGGAAGAGTAACCCGGAAACCCATGTGCAATAGGATTGGAGGCCTGGAGTTATTGAGCCTCCCACAGAGATCAAGATGGTACATCATTTCCTAAAGATGGACACCTTGAGAAAAGAAATTCTACATCAAACAATCTCTAGAGTTTTTGATGTGAGATTGTCCTTTGACAAACCATAGTCTGAGGCTATAAATTTGCAAGTTGGAAAAAAAAACACCAAACAATAATACCTTCAAAGTCATTGGTGTCAGGACTAAAATATACTCATCAGTGTTATTTCAATTTTAAGTTTAAGTCTCTCCCAATGTATCTGTAAAGTCCTTAAATAGGACATCATGGCTGATCACTATTATGAGAAGGTAAGAAGATCCTGAAACCTCTTGCATTTTCTCTGTCCTGTTAGAATTGAAGGGCTTTGCCTACCTTCTTCTTAGACTAAGGAACAGCTACTCCTCCATATACCTCTTACTTTTGAAAGTCACTGCCATCAGAAGCCCCTACTGATTCCTTTGACATGTAGCTACCTCCGATCCTATGCTCCTATATTGACAATTTTAACTAGTATGACAGCATTTAGAATACTATTTGAAAATTTAGTTCATGTGCATTTTCCTCAAATGGACCTATTATATTTTTAAAGAGAGCTTTTAAAAAATGGTGTTATATATTTCAAATCTTTTCAAAATGCATATCACTGTTACATTCTTTAATAATCTTACCTTGTCATTTCTTGTGTTTTCAGTTTCTTTGTTTTGATCTTATTATGTAACTTTCCTTTAAAAAACCCAGAAACAAAGACATAGACTTTAATAATGCCTTGAGGGCTGGTGAGATAGCTCAGTGGTCTAAAGCACCTGCTTAGGCAAGCTTAGGCATGCACAGTTGAATCTCTGGCACTATGCCCAGGCCTACCCCCAGGGCAAGCTGAGACACCCCCCCACAGACATAATAGTAATAGTAATAATAATAATAATGCCTTGCATTTGGAGCTAAATTATAAAAAAATAAAAGTGTTACCATACATCTTGGTTAATTTTCTCCCATTGCTGAGACAAAATATCCAACACCCCAAATTAATGGTGGAAATGTGTCTTTAGCTTACAGTTTGTAGCATTTCAGTCCACAGTCAGCTGACTCCCAGGCAGAGTGGCGTGACACAGGGACAACAGTCCCTGGCAGCAGAAGACAGCAGAAGCAGCAGGAGCTACAAGGGGCAGAGCAAGCTCCCTTTCCTCCCTTATGCTGTTAGTGAGCTACCACCCCTCGGGTGGGTGTAGACTCATGCCAGGTCCACGTCCTCCTCCCTTGCAGGCTTAGGTTGTTGACAAAGTGAGGACCCTGGCTGCTGGCTGAACCTCTTAGTTAAGCTAAAGCTGACACCGCGATCCACAGCCTAGAATGGGAAGGGCAGTTCCTCTGCACTCAGGGACTTAGAATTGCTGAATTTTTGGTCAAGCTTCTAGGCTTCTGAGGTTGACAGAATGTGTCAGTCCTCTACTATTTTAGACTTTTAAATATATTTTGGTGGTATTTTTAGGCCAAGTTTAAAAAATAAATAAACCATTTCTGAGGAAAGATATATGTGGTAGTCATTGTTTATTCCATAGTAATTTGTGAAGGGAGTAAATATTTGCAGACTTTGCATGTGTTCTGGACACTGAGCATCACTGAAAACTAACATGAGAATACTGACACCACAATCAATCTACTATATACTCACCAGAATGGAGCAAATAGAAAAACCTACATGTTCAAACTTTGGAAAAAAGTCAGAGCAACTATATTTGGCTACTGAAATATAAAACAGCATGGCCATTTCATAAAACAGCATTTGCTAAAGCTGAACATGTTATCTCCTGACTCAGTAATTCTACTTCTAGATACGTATCCAGTAGAAATAAGCACACGTGCTCATTGAAAGAAGTACTTGTACATGCATTGTGGCACTTTTGACATTCACAAAAAAACATGGACTACATGTTTTTCACTAGAAGAACATCAACGTGAAGAGATGGGTGCAAGTGACATGGTCACAAGGTGGAGGGACTTCCTATACATTACTGACAATAGTCTGCAATTGCATTTAGATGACCCTCATATGTCTAGCTTGAGTAGAAGTTGTAAGACCCAAGGGAGTACATATTATATAATGTCACTATTTAAACTATAAAAACATCACATGAATTAGGAAACTGTGCTGCTAGAAGTTCAGTGTGTGGGTTATCTTTGGCAAAGCGAAGCAACTGAAAAGATTTGTGCAAGGTGCCGTGGGTGATGACAAGGTTGGCGATCCATTAGGGTGTTATTTGCACAGGTATTTTCAGGTTGTTGAAACTCAATGAACTGAATACTTACATGTGCACTTTGCAGTGTATTGTACAAATAGATAAAATATGTGGCAAGTAAATAAATGAGCCATTACATTGATCTAATAAATAGCACCTTTCACACAGCCTTCATATTACTTTTCTAAAATATATTTAAATGCATTTTGGAATTTGAATGCTGGAGCTCGACATGGTTTTTATGTTGTTTGGGAAGATGGGAGAAGGAAATGGAAGAGGCATGCATCTTTATTGTACATAAAGGCTAAATATTTTCCTAGAATTTCTTGACACTCCAAATGATTCCTTTTGAGGCATTCATTTTAATTTTTCTTTTTAAGAAGTTTCAAAAGCATGATTCACTGTATCTTTCATAAACGTTCTGAAGATTAAACAAAATCAGGAACAAAAGCAAGAAAATTATAGTACAATTCTTTCATGAGTGCCACCGCGGACAGAACCCACGGCCTTCCACGTGCGAGATGACCACCTGACCACTGGGCTACACTCAGATCCCACGTTTGGAATGTTTTATAGCAGTATTTATTTTCAGAAAAATGAACTAGAAGAAGCATAATAATTTTAGTTTGGTAGCAAAGCCTGTGAATTACTGATGTGTCTGCAGGTCTAATTTCCTTCTCTTTCTTAACAGGTGTGCAGTTCAACTTCCACACCTTCCATCTGGAAGACCACCATGACTACTTACTGATCACAGAGAACGGGAGCTTTACCCAACCACTGGCTCGCCTGACGAGTTCGGAACTTCCATCAACAATCAATGCTGGGCTCTATGGAAACTTCAGAGCTCAACTACGCTTCATCTCAGATTTTTCCATATCATATGAAGGATTCAACATTACATTCACTGGTGAGAAAATAAAGACCAAGAAAAGAGACTTCCTTTAATAACTGAAAATAAAAACCAGGTTGTATAAGTACTAGCATGACATGGCAAGACAGAGAAGGAAATTTTACAGAAAAGAGGAAAATATTAAAAATAGAATGACAAAGCAAATAAGTATCTCTTAGTAAGTTTTAAATAAAATTGGAAAAATCTTGAATATCGCCTCTGAGAGCAAATTAAAGAGAAATTTTAAATAAAAGCAAAATAAAAGTTAACTCACTAAAATTCAGTAATGGCAGTAATTAACATTTCCTTAAGAGCAGAATACTAGATTTCTAATTGGTTGCAAAATAAGCTAAAAAATTCCTAGTGAATTTATAATGAAAATCCATATCTTTATTCATACTCAAAACTGAAATGTAAATTAAATTGGTGAACATTCTTATTTTAGTTGTAATTAATAAAGTATACTATATACCAATATTAAAATAAAGTTACTATACTCTCCTAGAAGAAAATTATCTAGAAAAAAATTAATATAGTTAAGGCTTTCCTATAGAGTAAATTTATTTGTAGGCAACTGTAAAAATTATGTTCCAGGAAAAAAATGATAAAGAGAACAGAAAATATTCCCACCACACAAGTACTTAATTTTGTGAAATCAATAATTTATTAAAATAGATACAATTTAGTAAGTAGCACTTAAGCCAAGGTATAGAACTTAAAATAGTAATACACATGCATGTGCACACACAGCGATACTGCTAACATGTAAGCACATAACAATATAAATCTTAAAATATTATTTTAGTATTTGGGTGGAAATCCTTAGCTGATAAAATAAAGGTATTCCACAATGAACAGTAAATAAAAATGATCAATTTTAACCTAGAACTTTAAAAATATGTCCAAATCTGTTTTTAAACATTAAAATATTAGTTAATCAACATGAAGCAATCCTTGCTGATTTTCTTGCAATTACACAGTAAGTAACTGCTTTGAGAATATTTTTAGAGACGCTATTAGAACTGCATGTAATAATAATATGTAATCAGCTCTACTCTCTCCTACACTGCAGATTGTTTAGTAGTTCATTTCCATGATGTTTATCCATCGCTTGGGGAAAAGTTGGTGCATAAATTCATAACATAATAGTTAGCACTGTACGTGGACACTTCTGTCTTACACAAACTTTTGCCTCTCAATCAGAATATGGGTTCACTTAATGCCTGGTATGCTTGAAGCTCAAGCACTGTTATTTAAATTACTCTTGTTAAGTAGAATGTGTTTTTATATTACAAATTATTTCATTCCAAATGTATTTTGTGTTTGAAAATATTCATCTTTTCTTTTGCTATAACTCAAAAATCTGTCACATAGAAATCTGTAATGCAGAAAAAAATGTTATGTTTTCTGTTTATGCCTAAGAGGTGACATTATCTCATCTATACCTAATTTCACATAAAAAAAAATAGTCGTTAAAGTTTTAGATACTTTTCAAAGAAAAATTGTGTGTCCTACTACCATGATTCCAAAATTGTACGTGTAGTTACTTTTAAAATATATGATTAGATACTAAAAGCATCCAGTTTCCTAATAAGAAATAGACTGAAAAAAAGTAACTACTATGATTCTTTTCCTCTCCTCTTCCGAGAGGAGGGTTTCCCTTTAACTTACAGAGTATAACCTGGAGCCTTGTGAAGATCCTGGGATTCCTCAGTATGGCAGCCGAGTGGGGTTCAGCTTTGGGGTTGGTGACACTCTGACCTTCTCGTGCTCATTGGGTTACCGGCTGGAAGGAGCCTCCGAGATCATCTGTCTTGGTGGTGGCCGGCGAGTGTGGAGTGCCCCTCTGCCAAGGTGTGTGGGTACGTGGTCAGCTGCTTTCATTTGCTTGTATGTGTAGTCACTGTCCATGGAATTGTATGGTTGCACACCCTTTGGTTTTCTGTTTTATAATATGTTATATTTCTTCATTTATTTCATACTAATTTTTTTCTTTCAACTTAATTTCTCTATTGCTGCAGTCAAGTATCAGTACTTCTAAATTTGTTTTCAGACAATGGTAATGAAGTGTGAAGGAGCTAGAAAGATGGATGGATTAGATAGATAGATAATGAAAGAGAGAGAGAGAGAGAGAGAGAGAGAGAGAGAGAGAGAGTGTTGGGGATATAGCTCAGCAGCACAGCACCTGCATATTTATTTATTTAGTATGGGGCTCAATTCCTGGTATGAAAATTAAGAGACTATAGATAAATAGATAGATAGACAGATAGACAGAGAGATAAAATTGCAGATAAAGATATAAAATGGAATTATTTCTTACCATATTGGTTTTATGAACTACATTAGTGGTTTGGAAAGATTGTGCTCAAGGAAGTAACACTTGGAATAACATCTGCATTCCAAGGGTTTCCTCTGTTCCTTCCAAGGATTCCATCAGCTGTCTGATTTACATGGCTCTTTTCCTTTAATCTTGTATCTAACTCTGAATAGTGGCATAAGTGCTACAGTTGTGACCATTCTGTAGATGATAAAAGTGTAGTTTGGAATGTTTACTGGCTAAATAGCTAATGACCGGGCACTTGGGATACCTCCCTGGGCTTTTTCCAGAGACAGCTCACAGATAAATGATTCTCATATCCTATTGAACTGAAGTTTTGGCAAAATTTTGTAACTTAAAATTAACATATATAACAGATAATTACACTATGACAAATGAAGAATAGATGATTAATGATTACTAAATCATTTATTGATATGATAGATTAATTAAACAGATTATTCATTTCATGTTCTGAGATTAACAGCAACAATAATGAAAGTATCAGAAGTGTGAAACACCACTTAGGCCTCTGGAAATGGATATTATACCTGGTAAAGGAGGAACATGTTTTCCATTTTTTAAAAAAAGGACTTTTCATTATAATTTAGGTCATCCTCTATTGAAATTAGAAATTAGAAGGCAAGAAATGTTTAGGTCATCAGCCATTCAGTGGTTAGCAGTACTTACTTTTTGACAAAAGATCATTCTATCCTTAGTTCATTAAGCTACTAAAAATTGTGACAGGGCAGGCCAAATAGCTCAGGGGATTAATGCGCCTGCTTAGGCAGATGCAGGAGCCAAGCTTCCCTGGGCCTGCTGTGCTGGCCTCACCCGAACAGCACTCTGAGACAGTGATTGAGACTGGGTGTGGTGGCCTGCTCCTGTAATACCAGCACTTGGGAGCTGTAAACAGGAGGATCACTAGGAGTCCTATCTATGTAGTGAGACCCAGTAGACGCTGTACTAAATAAAAATAAATAAATAAATAAATAGACATTGTGACAAACATTTAATTTCAATGTTTTTAAATATTTAAAAAATAGTTAGTTAGTTAGTTAGTTAGTTAGTTCGTTAGTTAGTTAGTTAGTACAGGGTCTTGCTGTGCAGCTTGTTCTCATAGTGATCTTCTTGTCTCCAGCTCCCTTCAGGCGCTGGGATTAAAAGCATGCACCACCACACCTGGTACAGCATGGAGTACCGGGAATCGACACCAGATCCTTACGCTTGCCAGGGAGGCACTTAGACTGATGAGCTATCTCCCTCACCTAATTTGAATTAAATTAAACTTAGATAAATTTAATCATAGATCACAAAATAGTGTAGGTGAAAATATAGTTAAAATCAGACAAATTGTAAGCTGCAAATGTGTGACTTATGCTCTTGTCTTATTCTCCAGCTAAAATGGTCCCACAGGTGAAAACATAAGAGAAGAGGAGGATCCCAATTTGCATTATTGAATATATTGTCCAAAATATAAAATGTAGAGACTCCTGCTAGTCTGACGACTTGGTGACATAGCTGTCTAAAAAGCAGAAACATAGTTATAGGCTGAGAATATAGTTTACTGGGGAAGCCTGTGTTTACTCCCCAATACAGAAAAAATAAAAGAGAAAGGAAGAAATGAAGGAAGGAAAAAAGGAAGGGAGGAAAGGAGGGAGAATGGAAGGGAGGGAAGGTGGTCCTTTGGAGTCCTAAATCAAACCAAAAAACAAAAACAGAAAATGTGTTCTTCCACGTTAGTATGAATCTGAAGGCTTTTATAATGATGAGGCTGGTTGCCATCGTCTCAGAGAGTTATAATGATAAGCTGATATGTAACAAATTTTTTTCTTTTTAAAATCGCAAGCTTTTTTGTTGTTGTTGTTGTTGTTGTTGTTGTTTTTGGTGGCCGTTGCACAAGCAGCTATAGACTAGAGGCTGCGGACAGGACTTGCCAAGCAGTTAGACTCCCAGAACCTCCTCTCCGGAGAGCTATGAAGGGTATTCCTTCTAACTACTCATTGTCTGTTTGGAAGCACCATTCTTTCTCGAGTTGTCTGCATTTTCATTTCAATACTCTGTGATTCTTTCCAAAGGCTGGTGAATGGTAACCTCAGGAATGTCCAACAGAGAGACTGGCAGTGTCCAATCATTAGCTATCAGCCAACTAACTCTTCTAAATTCCATTTATCTCAACTGCTTGGTGGTTCAACTGTAGCACTTTTGTATTATTATGAGTTATCTATAAAGATGAAGAAATTAGTCATATAAATCAGACATCTAACACAATCCCTAAAATATAGGGAATATCAGAATTTAGATGATTAACTTGCTTTGCAGTGAAAATAATCTGCTATCGCTCTAGCTATTAATTTAGTTTATAAAATCAAAATTGTAAAGAATACGTCAGTTTTATAAAACCCCAACATGATGCATATTTGCTGCAATACTTCATATATCATCCCATTTCTTTTTGCCAGGGTGTTGACTTTTCATTAGAACTTGTGGGTTAGGGCCGGGGAGATAGCTCAGTAGAATAAGCACTTGCCTGGCAAGCGCAAGGTTCTGAGTTCAATCCCCGGCACTGCAAAACAAGAAAGAAGGAAAAGAACTTGTGGGTTGGAGAGGTTAAATAATGTGTCCAACATCATTATAGTTTCAAGGGTTAGGATCAGTGTTTGTATAACAATCTACCTTACTTTAATACCCAACTTTTTCACTGTAGTGTCTAAGAAAAGGTTAGAGAACTAACTTAGATGAAGTTACTGTTTTAAAGTCACACGTATGTATCAGGACGTTAAGTAATTTCAAAGTAAATTGCTTATTTGTACATTTTTAAGGTTTACCCTACTGTTACAATAGATTTTAATACACGGATTCATGAAAAACTGACACTGCAAAAATGTAACAAACCTACCTTTGTTTTATTGAAGTATTTCTGAGAGTGAGTTTATTTCCCACCTAAATCTTTGATGGGAAGGATAAAAGAAAATAACCCTGTGGACAAATTTAGAAAGCAGAGCTTTACCTTGGGAATTTTTCTCCAGTTTCAAGTTAGCTGTGCTTCTTTTGTGTTTACTGAAATTTTTAAATTCCACTGCAGGTGTATATTTAGGTTAAAAGGGGGAAAGATACCTTTCAAATATGTTTTGTTTTTTAAGTCACCTCTCTAAATTTCTTTGAACTTTTCTTCACTACTTTGCATAGATATCAAAATAGATGTGTTCCTTTTTGTATTTTGGCTCCATGTAGGTATTTGTCTATATTATCTATTTTTCATTTTTTCAAATATCTATCTTATTTAGAAACATAGAACATTGTTTGTAATCATTTGTATGAACATGTGATCAATTCTCACAATGCTAATTTGAATGGTTTTTCTTTTTCTTATATCCTTCATACTTTTCCCTTAATATATATCACCAATTCTCTATTATATACTTGCTTAATAGCAGGTATTTAGTCCTCAGCACTCTGAACCTTCTGAATAACTTATATTGAAGACAGAAAATAAATCATAAATAGTTGTTATTTTTATCATTTGCTTCTATTTCCGTTATACTTTACAAATAGGTTGCAAATGATTTGATATGAGAAGAAATCCAGAGATAGGATTTAACATTTTGTGTTAAGTATAAAATAAATGATAATGTTTACTATAATTATATTTGCTCTATTTAACTTATATACTAGCTGGGGCTGATAAGACAGCTCAGTGGACTAAACACCTGCTTAGACAAGGGCAGGGACCAGGGTTCCATGCTCAGCATCACATGTTGGGCCGGCCCCTTCCCATAGGTGCACTGAAGTGGCCACTAAGATTGGGCGTGTTGGCACATGCCTGCATTCCTAGCACTGGGGGGGCCAAAAACAGGAGGATCACTATGAATCCAAGCTGTGTAGTGAGACCCTGTACCAATGTATTAAAAACAAAACAAAGAAAAACACTAAAACATATGTACTAGCTGTATAGTAGGTAGCTAAGAAAGCTAGGTTTTTTTTATTTAGATACATATGTATATTTTTTTCCATTTGATTGTGTATTTAGAGTTTGGCTGATGTGTACCAGTTCCTTCTGGAATAACTTTGTAAAACTTATTTTTAGGACTAGGTATATAATTCTGCAACTGAAAAGCTTGTCTAGTAGGGTGATATTCTATATCAGGTCTCCAGCAGTATGAAATAAATATAACTCTAGGTGCTTATTAACTAATCAAAAACATTTTGTTAATCAGATTCCTGTAATATGCAAATTTATATTTTAAAGTAATATCGAGGAAAAATATTAAAATATAACAACATCATAATAGTGTTTTTCACATCTGTAAAAAATCTATCCTATATCATTTCATCTCATTACATATATTTCTATCATATACTATCTCCATTCAACCTTGTGAAAGTCATTGTAACATAATTGTTTATCCGTGAACATATCATTTCTACAAATCTTCAAAGTTTCATAAAACTTAGGAGTAGAACCATGACTAGCCCAGACCAAGTCCTATCCTTGAGAAGAGTTTGGTAAAGTTGGAAGGGAATCTGCCTTTCATGTTGATGCAT